GATACTACACATGTGGACTGGGCACTTTCTTTATTAATTTTTTTAATCCAAAATTCAAATTGGAAAAAAAAAAAAAACAGAAACAAATAAACAAAAAAACCCTTATACCAGTTGGTTACAGCTAAGCTAAAAGGAGAACCACCTTCTTTCCCATCAGGGTAATTAATCAATAACCAGTCTGTTACCAACAACAGCAGTGTTCTAAATCTAAATCACAAGAGTGGGATGAATAGCATTATTTGCCATGATTTCAATATTCATCTACATAATTTAGAGAAAGGACTAGAAGGCACATGAACAAATGTTGACAATGGTTATTGCTAAGCCATAGGGACAGATAACACTACTGAGCACCAACTTTAAGAAGCAAATATTATTCGCACGCTCATTTTACCTGAGGCAGGATATTGAAGCTTAGTTTAAGCTACTGAAACCAAGGTCAAAGGCTGCTAAGCTCCTGAGCTGGGCTTTGAACTCCATCTGATTTCTACTTTTATATAATGGAAGCCTGTAAAAAGACCTTCTTTTCCCTCTAACTCCCTAAATTCTCTAGGGGAAAAAAAAATCACTTTTGCAATAAAGAAAAATAGTATTAAGGAAAGAAAAGAGGGAGGAAGGAAGGAAGGGAATTTCATTACAGATCAATAACTACAACATTATAGCCATCATTATTTTTTTAAGCTAGCTTGGCAATTGCTGGATATAAATGGACGAGGCCCGTAGCATGCTAATTGGGACCTCTGCCAGATCAGGGGACCTGCTTCCCTTTCCCAAAGATTTGCCCTCAGCTGACTAGAGCTACTCCACAGAAGTTACCCATCCCTCCCGTCTCGACTTCCCTGTCCCTTCCCATCTTCAGTTCGTAACTAATGATTGAATAATACGGAACTATAAAGGCAGCCCTCTTGTTTCCAAATCTGCAGGGCATTTATTTCAGAGAGTGCCTGGAGGAGGAGTAGGCCAAGGCTAATACTTTGCTTTACTCTTCTACTCAAAATAAAATAAAGCATTTGAATTAAATACATGATTTGCCCTGTGTAATGGTGTATGCCTGTGATCCCAGCTGAATCCTATGCCTGTAATCTGGAGGCTGAAGCAGGAAGATGCAAGATCGTGGCTAGCCTCAGCAATTTAGAGAGACCCTATTTCAAAAACATGTAAAAAAAATTATATATATATATATAAAGGGCAGGGATGTAGCTCAGTGGTACAATGCCCCTGGGTTCAATCATTTTAATTAACCAAGTGATATGGCCCAATCACAGAAGCACACTGAACCTTTTCTCTGAAGAAGATTAATTATACTTATCCCTTCTTATTCAGTGGTAGGCGTGAAAACAATTGAGCTAATAAATGCAAAAAAAAAAAAATCAGGTCTGATTTATTTTTCTAATTGAAAAAGCTGAGACAAAAAGTAATATAAAAATAGTTAAGTCTCTAGTCCCCAGAGACACTACAAATGCTGTTAGAGGTCAAAAGACCAGGAATGTCCACAGAATCTGATAGTGCTCACTGGAACAAATATAAAATTTAGTGAGAAATAACTCGACATCGAATTTGATTTTATTTTGTTTATTTAAGAAGAAAAAAACACAACAAACTTTTCTTCAAATAATCCTCAATTTCTCAAAAGCAATTTATTTTTAATATCTTTCTTAGTAAGTCTGTGGTTGCATCATAAAGCAAATGAAACCAGGGTTCCCTTTTTGTGGAAATTTATTTTTTTTATTACTTGCCTGTGACTAATTCCTAGGAGAACTTTTCTTGTGTTAAATAATAATTTTTTGTTTGTACTTGATAACTTTCGGTTTAATCATATTAACCACCCTTTGCTATTTCTTTCCGTATTGTCATCCTGAGAGATTTATTATTTGTATTTTCTTCTGTGTTTTTCTTTCTTTCTTATTTTATTTTGGCACTAAGAATTGAACCTGGAAGTACTTTATCTCTGAGATATATCCCAGCCCTTTTTATTTTGTTTTTTATTTCGAGACAGTCCCCCTAAATTGCCTTGGCTGGCTTTGAACTTGTGATCCTTCTACCCCAGTCTCCCAAATTGCTGGAATTACAGGTATGCACCACCACACTGGCTCCTTTGTGTTTTTCTAAAATGTATTGTAAACTTTATTTTTTTCTCTGAAAATGTCTTCAGGTGCCCCTGAGTAATTAAGTGATGATATATTTTTTTTTAAATTTTTTTAAATATTTATTTTTTAGTTTTCGGTGGACACAACATCTTTGTTTGTATGTGGTGCTGAGGATCGAACCCGGGCCGCATGCCAGGCGAGCGCGCTACCGCTTGAGCCACATCCCCAGCCCCATGATATAATTTTCACTTCAAAAAAATATTGGAGATTTCATCTGTGCAAAATAAATTTGTAGTTTTATGCTGTTTCCTGTCTACTGAGATGAATCAGGTCATTTAAGACTAGTCAAAAAACAATGTCCTGTGGGCTGGGGGTGTAGCTCAGTGGTAGAATGCTTGCCTGGCATGTGTGAAGCACTGGGTTCGATTCTCAGCACCACATATAACTAAGTAAAATAAANTGTACCAGTGTGGGTTTTCCCTGCTGAACTATTGAGTCCTTGTGAGAAGGCAGGGTCTTACCCCCCTTTAAACCCTTACTCTGCCTAAGACTATATGGAGGAAGCCAAGGAAACACCTCTCTCTTGTGTTCCAGCCCCTCTGCTAGACACTTTGTATACACACACCACTTATTCCAGACCCTCACAAGAAGCCTAGGAAGAAAGTAGTAGTATTTGCTTTAAACCCATGGGAAAACGAAACTCAGAAGAGGGTAGTAACTGGTGGTAAGTAGTAAAGTTGTATGTGAACTGGGAATCTTTTGCCTACACCACCACGCTGCCTTCCTTCCAGAAGGCAGGTGACTTGAGCTCAACACCTTAAGAGCAGGTAAGTACCATAACAGCCAGATCTGTTGTTTCCCCTTAGTGTGCTTAAATTTTCCTTGCAAATATACTCATCTTTCCTCAAAATGACCAATCTAAAGTTGTTTGGGAAAATCCTCTCTCAAAACCGGCACAGCGGGCTGGGGGTGTAGCTCAGTGGTAGAATGCTTGCCTGGCATGTGTGAAGCACTGGGTTCGATTCTCAGCACCACATATAACTAAGTAAAATAAAGGTCCATTGACAACTAAAAAAATATTTTTAAAAGGGATGTCCTAATTAAAAAAAAACTCAGATCTCATTGTTACTTTCTTATTTACCCCTAACATCTGCAAGTAGTCTTTAGCACAAAATTCTAAAATAATGGGTCATTTTATCCACCCTACCCATAACATAATTCACTGAAAAAAAAAATGTTGAGGGACACTGTCGAAGGACTCTGTGATATTTATTCAATTAAGTTTATACCACTGAATAAGAAGGGATAAGTATAATTTATCTTCTTCAGAGAAAAGGTTCTGTGTGCTTCTGTGATTGTGCCATATCACTTGGTTAATAAAAATGATTGAATCCAGGGCATTGTACATTGTAAATTGTTTCTTTTATCATGTAAATTGAAAGTAGCTGAAAGTCAGTTATGAATAAGCTCTCAGATACAAGAAAAATAAATAAGCTTGTTTTACTTTACATGATGCTGTGTGCCTACTTTTGATAGAACCCACAGGCTTGGTGTGGTATTAATCTCACTCTCTGACTCATGGAATCCAGATTTTCCAGCCCTCAGGATCCCATGAGACACACCCCACCCGATGTGGGTTCTATTACCCTAGAAAACCCCTAACACAGTAGTAGTTACTCGGTACTCCCTGGACCCCTGAGACACTGAATATGCAGACAATGGCCAAACCATATGTGTCAAATGGAACTGTGGCCCACCTGCCCAAGGAATCAAACACATTAACACATTATCTACAATAAACAATCCAGAAAGTCAGCCTGGGGTAAACAGGATTGCTATCTCTAGCTACAATCCAGTAGGCTAAGCAATAATTGAATTAACAGACCCAAATGTCCAGGACATTGATAGTTTCTCTAATGGTTGTCCCTACATCCAGTTTAAGATCAACCAGAGAAAGTAAAAAATGCACCCCTAGCTAATCACAGTGATGCTTGCTTCTAGTTAGCCCCCTCCAGCTTCCACTCCTAGCAGCACACACCTGAAGCACTGCCTCTTTTGCACTGCCAAGCTTTCCTCTTTTGCACCTTCACACTTCTGCCTGCCTTTGAGTTTCTACCAAAACACAAGTGACATGACAGACTTCCTGTTTATTACAAGCTCTGAAGAAAAATGCCTTCGGTTTTTCTCATTGGGAGGTCTTTGTTTATTTCCACAGCCCTCACTCCTAAAGTGGCAGGAATCAGGTGTGCCAGAAACCACAGTGAGATATGATCTGCCTCAAATTCCTGCTGCCTTTAAAGACAGAATTTTCCAAGCTGTATAAACACAGTAATTCAGAATGTCGACAATACGGGAGAATGTGTGTTCTTATGTATTCTCCTCCTACCCAGCATTATTACTATTCATCAGGTTCTATGATACCCTTTCTCCAACTGAAACAAATGGTGAGAGAAATGAAAGCCCTCAGCATAAAAACAATTTTTAAAAATTTAATCTAATTGTTTGACTTATGGCCTATTGACAATAACTTGTTGACTCTGCACTTAATTGTAAGATATTGTTTTAAAACATACGTTTCTTTGGTTCAATAAATTTACTATTTCATATTAAAATATAAAAAAGAATAACAGTGGCCTTTAAGCTGCCACTTTTATGTACAGAATTTAATTATTACAGAATAAATGATATTTATTCTATTAAGTTTATAAAAATTAATGTAAGAGAACCTTTAAGAGCAGTCATTAAGGATTAAAAGGACCCTGGAATACAGATTGATATCACACAACACAGGAATATCACAATGGGATTTGATAATTAGATTTATTTTTAAAAAAATAAAGAGTAATAAGTACAACCTTAAATCAATAGATTTCACAGTAGACTTTTCAAGTATTTAATTTTTGGCTATGGCAATTAAATGTAAACCTTTGCTTAGAATGCTCTTTACAACAATATGCAAAAAAAAAAAAAATCTTGCTTGATTTAAGAACATTCATTTAATAATTTCTTCATAAAACATCAAAAGTGAATTACCATTATATTGTAAACATGATCAAAATAAATCTTAGGCTATGAAAAGAAGAACATGATCCCCAAAAGCCCCACAAATCTCACTTCCTCCAGAGGCATATGTATAGCAATATTAACAAAATATGAACAGAATTGACCTGTTAGTTACAATAAGATGTATAGAAAACTGCTTTTAACAAGGAAGATTCCCTAAAAGGTTACAGTGAAAGATCATCCAGTACCTTAAAATTTCATTTAAACGTTCTGCAAAGGCACATTAATGGTCTGTTCAATTACTCAAAGGATTTGATCTTCTCAGCAAGCAGCTTCTAAATGCAGTTCTGGAATGTTAGTCACAATTTCCACTTGAAGGGTGCTATATTAAACAGTGCACAAGAAAAATACATTATTAAACCTATAGCAAAGACTTCTCCGTGAGAAATCTCTTCTGAATACTATCACCCTTTAAATCGGCACTTTGAGTTTTCCCCCCATTTATCCACCCTGTGTATTATAGGAAGAGAAAATATTTAGAATTCTGTGAACCCACTCTTGGTAAAGACAGTGACCACTGCTCCAAGATTAAACAAACACACACACACACACACACACACACACATACACAGTCTCTCTCTCTCTCTTTCTAGTAAAACTTACTGCTGCCTTCAAAGCTTGATCTAGATCTTCTAGCAGGTCTTTTTCATCCTCTAAGCCCACAGAGAGTCGAATCAGTGTGTCACTAATCCCAAGGATATCCCTGTCACTCTTAGGCACTGATGCATGGGTCATGATTGCCCTGGAAGAAGACATGAGAAAAAATTTTGATCACTATATTGTATCAGTGGAAGTACATTTCTGTCTTTTTTTTTTTCTTTCTTTTAAAACAAGCAAGCAAGAATTTTATTTTAAAAGGAAGGTGGAAAAAAGACTCAGAACTCCTGGCATAGTGCACCCGGGAGAAGTGAGAGTACCCATGTTTCTGTCTTATATATTGCAATTACCTTCAATTTTTTTTTCTGCTCCAAACATCAAATTTTTTATAACCTCATAACTTTCCACAGGCAAAGAAAAGGAGGAGGAGGAGGAGGGGGAGGAGGAGGAGGAGGGGGAGGAAGAGGAGGAGGAAAAGAAGAAAAATTATCAAGTGAAAATCGAGATTTCTAAATCCTATTTATACCATTGGTAAGCCACAGGCAAAATAGACGCTGAAAGAAGTACTAGTTAAGCACACCCATGCAGGAGGGAGATGCTAGCCTACAGCATGCAGATTTGAACACTGCCTGAACGAGATTTTGGCCACTAGTCCCATACCCCATATGCAACCTGCTACTTTTAAGAGGCCACCTGGACCAAGAGCCTACAAGAATTAATTCCTCCAGATCAATCAATGGATCAATCTAGAACTGGCCCTTCTGAGGCAGATCAGGGAAAGGCAATCATTGAGCATCAGGAATTTCAACAGGCAACCCAGGACATAGAGGACCTGAAGAATATTTCAAACTAACTAGAAACTCATCATCATTATCAATATGGGTACAATAAAGCATCTATTATGTGTCAAGCACTGTAGGAAGAATTGAAAACCAAGAACAATGAGTTATTTTCTTTATCTGAGATAATAAAGCAAGAGATAAAGACTATGATAATTCACAAAACAAAATAACCTACCAAGAACACCAAAAAAGTATAGACAAAAGGACTGCTGGAGTTCAGGAGGGAGAAATCCTTGTGGATTAGGTACCATGGAGGAGAGGAGAGACTTAGAGTCTTATTTGGTCCCAGTACAAATATTGCCACTGATACTCTTCCCTTGCTTAAACACCACCAGCAAAATCTGTGTCTAAGTTGCTTTCTCCTATCTCAGTTCAGACCCATGCAAACAAACACTTGTGAGTAAATGAAGTTCACTCTAACAAGCTTTGTACACACAAGCGTCATCCTTAAAATGTTCTGCCCTGGCAGGTTCTTAATTCCTTAGAAGGAAATACAGGTATGGAAATAAGAACTTAGGTCTCAGAGACCAGTAAACATGGGTATGAATATTATCCTCTCCATACACTGGCTTGACCCTGTAAGAGTTACCTGTATTCACCACTTATTTCTTTATCTGAAATAATAATAGATAGCACCTACTGTGTGTTTACCATGAGGTGAGTATGCATGGTAAGTCATTTTTTGTTTAAAAAAAAATGGATAAAACCTGAATATAATACCTATCTTAAAGCTCTATCTCAGACAATAAGTGACAGAATATCTATAAGTACCTGGAATGTAGTAGATGCCTAATAAAAAGAACTCATAGTAATCATTAATGTTTATTGGGTACTTAATATGAACTAAGACAACTAGCTTAGGGATTTTTTTCCCCCTATGTTCTCATAGCAACCCTAGGAACTAGGAAATTGAGATTTAGAGAGGAAGCATAACTTTTCTAAGGCCCCACAGTTAATAGTGTTGCTAGGATTAAAAAAAAAAAAAAAAAAAAAAAAAAGTGTTGCTAGGCTGGGAGACCAACCCAGCACACTGTGGCTCCTCTTCCTGAATTCCTGATTGCAATGCTGCTCTAGTCTCAGCAGTGTGGGGAGGCACAGAATGGGTTGGTAGGACAAGCCCTGACCTAAATTCACTTGTCCACTGGCATGCAGTTGTGGCCTAAGCTGCAGTGTCTGTGGGCCAAGCAACTTTAAACCGAATCCCTAAATAAATCAGGAAACATCTATTTTTAAGAAGGGAGCCTTAAAGTAATACACATTTTATTACTGTGAAAAATACACTAATTTTATGTGTGGAGTGTGCCCTCTTGTGCATCCAGACTTTCTAGCAGGCATCTTCTTAAAGTTGGGTTAACTGAATTATTTCAAATCGTTATCTGAGCATTTTCATTTTTTAATTTTGAGATTTTTTTTTAACTATTCCTCCAACAGTGAACTACCACAAGAAGGCAGGAAATATGTCTAAATGTTGGTAATCCCTGACATTTCTCAATATATATAAGTACATAATGCTTCCAGGCACAGTTATCCCACAAATGTGTATAAATATTAAAACACAAAAACCAACCACGTGCATTGAGAACAGCTGAAAATTGCTAGGTAATTTGACTTACCCTTGTAATAATTACAACATAAGGTCACAGCAATATATAATAAAGGTAAAATATAGCTTAGAAATGCTTGGTGGGACAGGTAATCAATAAATAAGAATCAATGCTTTAATTATTAACCCCTTACTTAAGTACTTTAATTATTTCACAGATGAAAAAAAAAAAAAAAAAGAAGACTCTTAATGGTTAAGTACCTGGTGAAAACAAATCTTAAATCCAGATGCTGACTCCTTCTACCTCCCTTCACTATTTTTGATGCAAAGTCTCAAGAGTGAAGTCGTCAACATATTCCTATGTGACATTTGAGGAAATTAGCTAAACTTAGTGGGTCTTTGTTTCCTAAGCTGTTGCACTGCAATATCTTAATCTACTTCCTACTCTAATTTCCTCAGGTACTTTGATAAAATAGATGAATTTTTTTTTATTTGCTCGGATGGTGACAGACCTGGACTATCAGGTCAGAATTTATATATATCCTACAGACTACATGGAACCATTAAAGGTTTACCCTACAGAGAGAAGAAAAGAAACAGATTTGGCAGTATCTAGCAGGGCTCTTCTCTGACAAACAAGGGTGTGGAGGAGTTTCAACAGAAACACATTCTATCTCCCAAGGAGCCTTGATAACAGCTTTTCCAGGACAAAGTTCCCAAACTCCCTTCCAAGGCAGGTGGGGTTAAAACAGGTGGCCCTCCCTTAGAGATCAACAATCCTTGGATAAAATGACTGCTGGAATCTCCTTCAGGAAAAACAGTGAAGGAAGCAATATTTGGGAGGACATATATAGCTCACTGATAAGTTGCCTATCATGAGATTTTGTCAGGGTCTCCATCCTGACCAAGGTACAGTTCATTCTGATTGGTGAGTGCTMTACAATTCTTACTATTAAATATCTTTAATTTTATTCCTGATTTTGTTAAACTCCATTTCCAGACAACCATGAAAGCTGATTTAAATTTTAAATACTGAGAGCTGATCTCAGTGGCACATGCCTATAATCCCAGACTGAGATGGGAAGATCACTTGAGTTCAGAAGTTTAAGATCAGCCTGGGCAACATAGGTAAACCAAGTGTCAAACACTAAAATTAAATTAATTACTGAGAAAAATAAAAAATATACTTACGGAAGCTCAACAAGACTTTCGTATCCTCCCAAGCTTTCAGCAAGAGCAAATAACTTTAAAAAAAACAAATATAAATTTAGATCTTTCAAAATAAAAATACTAAAATATAATAGTTAACGTTTTTAATGAAATGGACCTAGTATAAGGAGGATGGGGAATGGCAGTGATTATGAATAAAATACATATTGGGTAAGAAACTTAGAGAAATAAATGAAAATAAAGTCTATAACAATGACTTCACGGATTAGATATATTATGTTTAAATTCTAAGACATTAAAAGCTGACTAAAGTGAATTTCCTATATTATATTAATTTAACATGAGCTCTAAAACTTCAGAATGATTACATTTGGATCCAGCTCTGAGACTACCCTTTAAATAAAAATCTCTAAAAGCCTGCCAAGGTATACACACTTGTTAATATGTATCACTTATTAAATGAATATATTCATTTAACTCCCTGTTGGAGTAGGGGAAAAACTCATATTTATGTTTGTGCATGGTTTGTTCCCAAAGGTTTATATATATTGGAGGCTTGGTCCCTGGTGTGGTTTTTCCCCCAAAGTTTAACTCATTGGAAGCATGGTCCTCAGTGTGTCAGTGGGACCTTTAAGAGGTTGGGCCGGGGGAAGGTATTAGGTCACTGAGGGCACTGCTAACTCACACAGTTGTCTGAGTTGGTTCTTGTAAGAGCAAATTACTTTAAGAGCAAGCCTGGGGGCTGGGGCGAGGCTCGGTGGTGGTAGAGAGCTTGCCTAGCACGCACAAGGCCCTGAGTTCGATCCTCAGCACCACATAAAAAATAAATAAATAAAGATATTTTAAAAATTTTTTTTTTTTTTTAAAAAGGAGCAAGCCTGATCCCTGAATGGCTTTTTGCTTCCCACCTGGCAATGTGATCTCTCACTCCCACACACAATATTATCTGCCACTAAGCCCTTACCCGAGGCCAAATCCAATGGGCCATCTGATTTGTACTTTCAGCCTTCATGACTATTAACTAAATCAACCTCTTTTCTTCATATCCAGCTTCAAGTATTTTGTTTTAGCAACACAAAATGGACTAAGTGTCAAAGTTTCATAGAGTTTTACAATTTTTTTCCTTTTTTGGAGATGGAGTTTTTGGTACATTGCCCAGGCTAGTCTCAAACTTGTGAGCTCCAATGATTCTCCCACTTCAGCCTCCTGAACAACTGGTACCAAAGTGAGAATCAACAAACCTGGCTTCATTTTACAAATATTTTTACTTTCATAACTATTAAATTCAAATTATGTTCTAATTTTAGAGATGGACAGATTTGAGACATCTGCAGAGCTTTGATTAATCTGGCTACAATCTGCTCAATAACTGTGGCATTAAACCATCAAAGTCCATTATTCCATGAGGTCAAGGTAAGCACAGTGCATTCATGACTCCTGAGAGACTCCTGTCTTTGTGAAAGTTAGACAAAGTCCTTCTCTTCCCTCACCTTAGGCATCCTCTTACCTCCAGCCTGGGAGGTGCAGGCCATTTGCAAGGGGGACTTCATAACAGCCTTTGTGTAATTGTCACAGAGTATTTCATTTGAAGAAGGGTTCACCTTTAAATACATTTGTAAACCAATGCATGGGAATATTCTATCCCTCTAGAATTAATGACAGGGTGTGCAGAGTTAAGGAAATGAATATATCCAGATGCTATGGACTAGATTGTCTACATCATTTTCAACCCTATGTATTTTGTGATAAAGAGGCTTGTGGGTGTGACCTACAGCTTCAAAACCTAAGGTAAAAGATAAAGACCTACTGTAAGGGGATCTTACCTCCCCATTTAAAAACCTACTTTGAAACTTTACCTTTAGGTTCTTAAGGAAAATCTCAACATGTTGAAGAGTGCCCTTAATAAAAAAGGTGATCATCCCTGAGCAACCTGTGCATTGGCGCTTTGCCAACTCATGCTGTGGGTGGGAGGGCAAACCTGTAATCACAAGGTATGAGAAAAGTCTTATTTTAGAGTCAAACATAATTTCAAAGGGAAAAAATTTTTCACTGACAATTTAGTAATCTGCAAGTAAGCGTTAATGCCATATTCACATCTGACTACTATTCTGGCCCGCATCCACCTTTCCACTTTGCACTGACATACATCTTTCTGCCCTATCCATGCTCTAGTCACACCAGCCCTCTCTACACCAGCACTCCCTTTAATCTCTAGACCTTTGTATATCCTATCACTTTAAACTGGACTTCCCTATTTAATTAAATCCTTCTGTAATTTCTTGATTAATATCTGTCTTATCCACCAGATTAGCTCCATGAAGGCAAATCCATTTCTTTTTTAATAATTGGATCCCATTTCTTAGCACAAATTGTGGATCATGGTTGGTAATTTAAAATAATTTGTCAACTGAATCTAAAATACCTTGTCCAAGCCCTTTTAATAAATGCTACCCATTTTTCAGGGCAAAATTCTTCTCCCTCTCTGAATTCAAGATGTACACAGTCAACAGCTCTTTACAAAAGTACAGAGGGGACATTTAATCTCACATATATATTTCTACCTTGGATTATCTGTCCTTGGGGACAAAATCTGAATTGTCCTGTATACCCATGACTACATTGCTAGATGCCTCAAAAATATCTTACAAAAACTATTTATTTAACAATACCACAGTTTAAAATCTGGTAAAATAAATTCAAAGATGACATTGTGACAATTCTACATGAGCTTTTCTAGATTCTGAAAAGGGTGAAAGAATTCAGAAAAAGAAGTAAGAAAATCTCAGGGGAATTGTGGTGCATAAGCATCAAGACTGAATGGGACAAACCTCTATCAGATGAAAGCTAAGCTGAGCTAGTGCTAAAGACTATACTGTCAAGTTTATGAATAAATCAATGAAAAAAGTACAATATTGTGATCTTGGAATAGTTACACACAAGCCCTAAAAGCTAAAGACCATAGCAGAACCATCTAGTCTGTAAGACTAATTTCTTAACGCCCAAGCATCACTAGAGTATAGGTAACTCATGGCCAGACGTCAAGTCTGTCTATTCCCTATCAGACCCACCACAGAGCCTGACACAGCAGCACTCAATAATAAACAACACAAAAATATACACAGGTACTAACTTACAAACAATTATTACATAAACAGGATACTAGTTCTGGCATAAACATATCTGCTTAGGAACCAGATTCACATACCAGGGTAAATAACTTTTTCTATTAGGGGATTAGATTCTAGGAATTGGGCAACAGCCATTCCATTTTTGAAATGCTTCTCCATTCGGATTTGTAGAGTCTTCAGGCCTCGAATGCAGAGGTAACAGTCCATAGGAGATGGAACAGCTCCAATAGCTAAAATGAACACATCTTGGATTAGCATGAAAGTAGGGTAGGGCCCAGAAAATTCTCTTTTCCTACTTTTCATTATAGTGAATCTGAGAAGTTAGCTATGAAGTTCAATGTTTGTGTTTTTAGGCAGAAAACTACAATGTTAAATTCAGAATCATGACAATGAAACATAAAATATACTTAGGGAAAGGTGCTTTATAATGAGAGGGGAAATAAATGTCCTATAAATTAAGTAAAACCACAATAATATAAACTTTTGAAAATATAAAGAAAAATTCCTGTGATTTTAATGACATGACATACTGTACATTGTTTACCCTTACATTGCTTTGAAAGATTATTACAACATATAGAAAAAATAGTTCAATTGTAATTTTTACTGAACATTCTACCAATATCCTCTTTARGCTTCATGTAAAACAGCCTATAATATCACATGCCTACAGATTACACACCTCATTCCTACATTTTACAAATAAATGGCCATTTATCAAGTAATATCTTGGCTTCTCTCTTCAGTGCCCCTTTTGCCTATTTCCTAAAAGGACATTTTTATTCTTAATTATGTCTGTATCTCTCAAACTAACATGGTTAAACCCTCATTCATACTTGAGATAACTAAACACTATTCAACAGGAATTGGGATTTAGACCTATCTATTGAAAAATGTGAGCGTATACATGAATACCATTTAAAATTAACCATCCATTCCATATATATAAAAGGCATAGAACATAAAAGCCAATATTTCAAATATTTTGTTTTGCTTTGTTTAAGAAAATAAAATCCATTAACTCTTGAAACTAAAATTTACTTGGGCTTTAACAAATTATGATTAAAATTAACATGGATATGAAAATAACAAAATTCATTTTCTGTATCATGTTATACATACTATACATAGTATGCTATAATTATAGTATTTTTATTATTTTTTTTTAAAGAGAGAGTGAGAGAGGAGAGAGAGAAAGAGAGAATTTTTAATATTTATTGTTTAGTTCTCGGCAGACACAACATCTTTGTTGGTATGTGGTGCTGAGGATCGAACCCGGGCCGCACGCATGCCAGGCGAGCGCGCTACCGCTTGAGCCACATCCCCAGCCCATTATAGTATTTTTATAAACCCATTTTTTTCTTCTTTCCTGTAACAATCAGAATTTTTCTTTCTAAATGTTTCATAATATTTCATGGAAATGCAAACATACATCAAATGTAGTCACTGATAGCTTACAAGGAAATCCAGGTTTTCTTTTTTTTTTTTGGTATCAAAAAAAAAAAACAAACCCAGGGATGCTCAACCCCAAGCCATATCCCCAACCCTTTTTTATACTTTATTAGAGACAGGGTCTCACTGAGTTGCTTCCGGCCTTGTTAAGTTGCTGAGGCTGGGTTTGAACTCATGATCCTCCTGCCTCAGCCTCCCACGTCTCTGGGATTCCAGGCATGCACCACTGCACCCAGCTCAGGCTTTTTAACACTTACCATTTTGCAAGAAACGAAGTCTATCATGGATGTCTTCAGAATTAACAGACACTATGCCCATTACAACATCACTGTGGCCTAAAACAAAACCAAAACTTTTATATAAAAATTTATGTCTATTTTTTTTATAATTTCCAAAATATAATTTTCCCTCGAAAAAACTCTCAAGGTTTTGTCCTATAAAATAAAAACAAAGTATTCTTTTCAATCTTCAAACAGGATAAAAGCATAATCTTATATAGTAAATCTTAATCCTTTCCTCATGAATCACAAACATAATTTTGTCTGTATAAATCCTATATCCAAGCAACACTTTTTTTTTTCTTTCTACAGAAGTCACAGATAAAGCCTACATAGAGTGGAAAAAAACAGAGACCAACAGCCCTATGCTATTTTCATCTGCTAATGAAAATAAACAAGCAAATGTGAACTGCTTATCTTACCATTCATGTATTTTGTTGCAGAATACACACAAATATCAGCTCCCAGAGCCAAAGGCCGCTGAAAGAAACAGAAGTTTGSGTTTTTAAATTTTTAAATGAGAAACCATTTGAATATATTGTCTATTTACAATTGTTAATCCCAGTCTCATTCTAATCAATACTAACTTTGCAAAAATATGTACACCTTAAAATTTCCAGGATCTATGCTATTATTTTGCCTTTGACTCATTCACACCAAATACACATAAAATGGAACCTGAAGGCACAAGTTTCCTGCTAATAGCAGATAGACCCAGGTCAGCCTGTTTCTTCATAGCAGTTGCTGACTGACCCTTAAATTTATCACTTATAGTAGAGACATTGACAAACACATAAAATATGTKTATGTCAAGTAAATATAAACTAATCTAGTTAGATTTTTATTATAACCTTATGAGATATGCTGAGATTACTGACACTTGCTTTGTCATGATCTTGACTCCTAATTATTCTTTTATTATAGCAGTTTTACCAAAGAGAAAGTCACTTTATAAAGAAATTTGTTTGAATTTTCTTCTGACTAATCCAGATGCAAATTAATCAGGTAATCTTAAAATGCATTTTTTTATCAGTAAAATTATTTTTGACTTACTAATAAATAATGCATTATCAACATCTTTCCATGTACATTTTCTTTAACATAAAAGAGTATGAATGTGTTTTGACCTCATTAGAGTTGTTTGATGTTTGGGAGGTATCATTATGGGTAGATGTGGGATGTTTTCATTTAAAGTGATTCAAAAAAAAGAATGCAAGGTATCATTCAAAGCATTCTGTACTTGAGTTTGCTCATCTGTAGAGCGAAGAGATCAGAGATGATGTTAAGTTGTCTTCCAGTTCTAACATTCTATGATCATTATGGCCAACAAAGAAGAAAAAAATAAAAACAAATGCCTAATATCAATGTCACAAGATAAATACTTTATATAACCCAGTGAAATATTCTACAAAATACTTTACCTAACTTAATAAAATCAGTATCTTTATGGTTTTCATTGAACTTATGAGGAAAAGGGACTAAGAAAAAAAGATTGATCATTCAGATAAGATAATAGAGCCAGGACTCACTCCAGAGGTGCTATTCTGAAACTTCATACTGATACGTTCATTTTGCTTTATTTGAAACTTACAGAGTATCCAAAAGACAAAAAGCAAAGAAGAAAGGAACATATTCAGTTTTTGTGAAGGTAAGACAGGAAGAGGACCTTTTCAAAAAGAGATTTGCTTTATGGAACCAGTGTATGTGGCTACTTCAGGATGGTGCAATTTCTGAAAAATTCTACAATGAATCCAAAGTGCAATGAAGCAAAGGCCAATCCTTAGCATGAAGAATGTGATGTGGCCTTCAGAAAGGTAGAAAAATTGGACTTATTTTGGTGATTAGTCATAGGAGAAAGAGGGCTAGGTCTCATGAGTAACTTGGGCAGGGTCAGGCTAAAAAATTCATGCAATTTCTTTGAGAATACACAGGACATGCTGTGACTTAGCTAAAATGATCCCAGGGTGTATTAACTTGTCTAATGTAGAAGGCACATGTGTTGGGATAAACTAATGCAAGACTGAAAATCACTTGTGACAGATGATGCCAAGAGATTTATTAGGAACCAAAGGTAGAAGACCCATGAATCTATCTGAATGCAATGCAGCCAAATATATGTTTCAGGAAAGAAAAATAAAACATGGTAGCGACTTCAAATAAAACAATGAATTGGGGCTGGAGTTGTGGCTCAGCAGAAGAGTGCTCTCCTAGCACGTGCAAAGTGCTGGGTTCAATCCTCAGAACCACATAAAAATACATAAATAAAATAAAGATATTGTGTCCAACTACAACTAAAAAAAATTATATATATATAAAATACAATGAAGAACAGGTTTATGCAAACTGCTTAGGCAGCTAGCCAGTCACATGAAGGTAGCAGTCCAAGTCAATTGTGGGGACCAAAAGAATCAGTAGGAAATGTCATTAACAGTGGAAACTTATAAACAGCTGTCTAAGTACCATAAGGTACAAGCTGAAAGAGAACAAGGAAAAAGTCACTCTTTACAAGGACAGAAAATAGGTACTCACAGGAAAGGGAGGGAGAACACACGGGGAGAAGGCAGGCAAGTTGTCAGCAGAGAGACCCCAAGATGATCCAGCAAAAATAACAAAATACAAAAGAAAGAACCTGGGCAGAAGGAGGACAGAAAAAAGGGAAAGGAATGGAGGATGTATGAAGGATTGTACGGAGAGAAAGATAAATGAAAAGGGATTAGCAGGAAAAAAAAGATAATTTAAAAGGAGCTGCTATGGTCTGAATGTTTGTGACCCCACAAAAGTATGATGTTGAAACCTAATCACCAATGTGATGGGGAAGTGGGCTTTGGAAGGTGATTCRTTCTAAAGCCACACCATTTATGAACAGAATTAGTGTCTTCATGAGGTAAGCCCCAGAGAGCCGCCTGGGTTCTTTTACCCTGTGGGGATACAGAAGAAAGTGGGCCCTCACCACACACTGAATGTGCTGGTGCCTTGCTCTTGGACTTCCTGGCCTCCAGAACTATGATAAATAAATTTCTGTTTATAGGTCATCCAGTACAGTATTTTGTTATAACAGCCCAAATAGACTAAGACAGGAACACTATAAAATGTAAAACAGATAGAAATTTCTAACACAAGTAAATTTTCTTTTTTGAGAATTTTAATATTTATTTTTTAGTTTTTGGCGGACACAACATCTTTGTTGGTATGTGGTGCTGAGGATCGAACCCGGGCCGCACACATGCCAGGCGAGCGTGCTACTGCTTGAGCCACATCCCCAGCCCCTAACACAAGTAAATTAAAGATACACAGGTCTGGGCATAGTCTATATGACGCTGAGGGAAGAAACACAAGAAAGAAGAGGGAGAAATGTGACATACCAAGAAGTCATTGAGTATAGCTTTTCTTTTTATATACACATCCTGAGTTGGGAACATAGCTCAGTGATAGAGCTATTGCCTACCATGTAGGAGGCCCTGGTTCATTCCCCAACATTGCAAAAAACAAAGAGTTTACCCATCCTAAGAGACTCAGAAAGCTCTAATTAAGATAATTCTTTAAAAACACAGGTATAATACAAAGTTTGAAATGATATTAACTAATGGTAGAAAAGATCCAAATTTAATTCTTTGCCTAATCAATAATTGCAATTAGATTTCATAAATTTAATAATGATTTTAACGTCAACTCTTCCTTCCTTTGCTAACTACAGATATCAGTGTGATCTACTCATCAGGCCCAAAACACTGATTTTCATTTACCTGGAAATATGCCGACATGAAAGTGTTATCCACAACCAAAATAATGTTTCCATGCTTATGGACAGTATGTGCGCAGGCTTCAATGTCAATCAGCTTCATGATAGGGTTTGTGGGAGTTTCAATCCAAACCATCTAAAATAATTTGGTAAATAACAATAGTTTGTAAAAATACACTACCCAAACATACATCTCATATAACAATTGAGGAGTCTATATTAGATAATGGAAACACATGGACAATGAAGTTGGAAGGCTCAAATCTGAATCAGCTTCTCCTACAATTCTTGAAAGGCCAGAGCTAAGTAAAACTTACCCTGTACCTTAATCTTATATAGAATTTGTGAAAAGATCAAATGAGATAATATATATCTAAGCAGAAAAAAGCACTAAAGTTAATTATGATAATCATTTTTCATAAGAAGTAGGATTATTCCAAAGACATAGTTGAGTGTCTAGAAATTTTGTTCTTAATGACAAATAACAGATTCAGTAAGAATACATTCTAGAGCCAAGCATAGTGGCCTGTAATCCCAACTACTTAGGAGACTGAGGCAGGAAGATCTCAAGTTCGAGACCAACCTGGCCAACATAGAAAGACCATATCTCAAAATAAAATTTTAAAAAGGCTGGGGATATAGCTCAGTGCTTGCCTAACATGCTCAAGGCCATGGGTTCAATTCCTACTACTGCAAAAGTAAGAAAAAAATATATATATCCTAGAATTTTCATTAACAAGAATTATGCCTACAATGCCAAAAATATCCCTAATACTTAAATAATGCCATACACACTAGAAACTATACAAAATAAGTGCCTAAGACTGGAGGAACAGCATGGGCTTTAGACTAAAGGACAAAAGTGACAAAACAACAGACAATCTGGTCACAGCTCACTTAAGAAGGAGGCAATACGTTTATCTGGGTATCCTAAAACCTACCATAATTCAGGCACATTATAGACATTTGATAGTTCAATGGGGTAGAGGTCTGGTTAAATAGATTTTCTACTCCGAAACTCCACTACAGAAAATGTAAGGTAAATTAACGCATATTCTATTAAAAAAAAATCTTCATTTATTTAAATATCTATAAAAATGGTTTCTGGGTAAGAATTTTTTATTCCTACAGATAATTAAAAAACAAAACTAAAAAATGAAAACTAAGTAAATAAATGTATAAAGTAGGTTTTATATGGACTTTAAAATTCTACTTCAAATGACAAGTCTGATATTTCAGAAGGGAAAACGTATTAATTCAAGTCAGTAAAAAACCTTTATATATATAGTTGTAAACGAAACTGAATAACTCATAATTTGCTTTCCTCTCTTAGACTCAACCAGCTATTTAAATAAGTGTCTTTTCTCTCCAACAAGATTAAAAAAAAAAACAAGTTCCTTTAAAAAAAAAAAAAGCCTTGATTACCAAAAGATAAACTCCTAAGCTAAATGATAAAGAAATTATTTGTATGAAAAAGATTTTCATTTTTTATCATCAACTGCCACATAATCTTGGGTCCAATTCTAACCTTTTAATCCTTAGTAAAATGCTGGAAAAGACTGACTTATAAATAAAGGACACTGGTCCTTCTTTTATTCACACAGAATATAAATGAGGTCCCAAGAAAGAATATCACATCTGCCATTCATTCAGGCACAAAACACCTTCCGGTAGCACACAAGCTTCCCAGGATGGAGGCTAAAGATTGCTTGTGACCCATTCTCTACTTCTATTATTTGCAGAAAGTATCCTTTAGAGCCCTGAAAAATCACTGTGCTTAAGGGTTTGTGGTTTGACAAGCTCCTTTTCTTATAATCCAATCTCTCTGAATACTTGTTACCAATACTAGCTTAAGAACTGCATGCGTTTGCTTTTTTTTTTTTTTTTTTTTTTTTTGCAGTGCTGAAAATGGAACTCAGGGCCTCATACATGCTAGGCAACTATTCTATCACTGTGTTACTTCCCCAGCTCATACAAAGAAAAACTTTAGTAATTACCACATATCCAGGTACTATACCAAGCATTGCATTATCTCATTTAATTTTCACAACTACCTTGCTATAAAGCAGATACAGTTATCTTCATTTTACAAATGAAGAAAGAGATTTTGATAAATAATCTTCCTAAATAATATACCAATTATGATAGAGAATCAGAATTAGAATTCCACTCTCGAATTTGTGTATGAATTCCTAATCATTATGCTATAGTGCCTGGGAGATGCCAGTCTATGCTGATTTTGTCAATTTATATATATATATATATATATATATATATATTTTTTTTTTTTTTTGTAGTCCTGGGGAATGAACCCAGGGCCTTGTACATGTGAGGCAAGCACTCTACCAGTTGAGTTATATCCCCAGCCCCCTTCTAATAAAATTTTTAATTCACCATACAAATATACTAGTTTTACTTTCAAAGAAAAAATTTTGAAATAAAGGACCTAGTTTGAAAAAACTTTTAATTCAGATTTAAATTATTTTCTCTAATAAACTGAAATGATGAAAACAGGACATCACAGAGAAAGCAGACAAAACTGAAAACTATGGGCTGAGGTTGTAGCTCAGTGGTAGAGCACTTGCCTAGCATGTGTGAAGCACTGGGTTCCATTCTCAGTACCACATATAAATAAGCAAAATAAAGGTCTATTGACAATTTAAAAAAAAAAATTTAAAAACTGAAAACTAGCTAAATTACCTTGGTTTCTGGTGTAATTGCTGCCTCTAGCAATTTGGTTTTGGAACAATCAACAAAAGAAAGCTTTAATCCAAATTTAGGAGCCACCTGCCTGAAGTACCTGTTTGTACCTGAGGCAGGAGAGAATCAGAAAAATTGAAAGAGCATTATATAAAGGAATTTCATTTCTTACAGGTATAATCACTAGAAAAATTTAAAGATCCTTTAATCACCAACAAAAATGCAACTAAAAGATATGTTAGGTAAGCATTTTGGCTATCCAATACAGCACCGAATATTAAGTTTGGACTTTGGAGGTTCCGGAGTCAGATAAAATATACTTGATACCTATAACAAAGGGCATGAAGCAGAAAACGTTCCTCAAAATATCCAATCTCTACTCTTCAAACATTAAGTGATTTTACCCCTGAACCATCAATATATTTTGTACAATTTCTTCTTAGTACTCAAATCTAAAAGAAATGAACCAAGGTCAATAAAATGTTCAAAATACATTTTCAATCTGGTTACACTTTAGTAATAGGAAGCAACTAGTTACTATTCTTTATACTTTCCCAATGTTTTTGTTATGTGATTCTAAAAGCTTTAACAGATAAATTTTTTAAAAATTTAAGACAAACTACTAGCTTTTTGTAGTACAACAAGAAAAATCATTCAGCTTAGAATAATTTATTTTATAAACACTGTTCTGGGTTTGATTTTTTTACATATGCAAAATTTAAAGAAAATGTGCTATTATTAATAGTCAACCAAAAAAAAATCAATGATAAATTGCATTTTTGTGTTATGACCCTAGAAATCTGAAAGAGAATGTAAAAAATTATTAAAAATTTAAGGATTTTGTACCTGTTTGCCATGCACTCTACTTTATTACCTGTTTGTAATGCACTACAATAGTAACCAAAGAAATCTCTACAATATCAGTTCAACATACTATTATAAGGACCCAAATTAAAATACAAAGCACTATGCAAATTTCTGAAAGATAAAATGATTACTCAGGGCAAGTCCCTCACTTCAAAGTCTCTTACTTTAAAAACTTAAATTTTTTGTTCAGCTAGGAGGTAGAGATAATGATAATAATATTCCAGAAGACATCTTCAAATATTTAGAAGCATTTGGAATTGTTTGCACATTTATAAAATTCTTTGCTACTGTTTTTAACACAGAAATCAGTCTTGAGGGCTGAGTATATAGCTCAGTTGGTAGAGTGCTTGACTCTCATGTACAAGACCCTGCGTTCAATCGAAAGAAAGAAGGAAGGAAGGAAGGAAGGAAGGAAGGAAGGAAGGAAGGAAGGAAGGAAGGAAGGAAGAAAATCAGTCTTGCTTAAATGTAAGAACAAAACTGTCTTCTCCTCCTACCCAGCACCACTTGAATAGTCAACATGCAAGCCCTTGGGAATTGGCCCATTCTAAGCATGGGCTTCAAGGTGTCCAAATCTGTGAGACACCCCCACCCCACCCCCTGCAAAGGTGTAGTTTTAAAGACTTTAAAAAAAAAAAAAAAGAGGTCCCTATCTTTCAACAAATTTTTCAAAAGATTCCCTAAAGCCAAAAGAAAATAAAAGGGGAAGAGGGTGGGTAGAGTTGAACTCTTTGAAATGACCTGGGTTATAGTTCACTTTCATTGCAGGTAAAAAAAAATTAAATAATGCTAGAACATTCTCTCTAGAAACTTTATCTTCTGCACAGCAAAGGAAACAATTAGGAATATGAAGAGAGAACACACAGAATGAGAKAAAATCTCTGCTAGCTATTTTTCTGCAAGAGGATTAATATCTAGAATATATAAGAAATTAAAAAACCTTTACAACAAAAAAAATCAAATAACCTGATTAATAAATGTACAAATAATTTAAAAGACACTTCAAAAGAAGAAATACAAATGGCCAACAAATACATGAAAAAATCTTCAACATCATTAGCAATTAAGGAAATGCAAATCAAAACTACACTAAGATTTCATCTCACACCAGTCAGGATGGCAGTCATCAAGAATGTAAATAATAAAAAATGCTGGAGAGGATGTGAAGAAAAAGGAACACTTTCATGCTGTTGGTGGGACTATAAATTAGAATAACCACTATAGAAATCAGTATGGAAGTTCCTCAAGACATGCAACCACCATATGACCCAGTGATCCCACTCCTTGGTATTAACCCAAAAGAACTAAAATCAGCATATCAACATGATACAGCCACATCAATGTTTATAACAGTGCAACTCACAGTAGCCAAGTTATGGAGCCAGCTTGGTGCTCATCAACAAATGAATAGATAAAGAAAATATATATATATACATACACAATGAGTTTTATTAAACCATCAATAAAAAATAAAATCATGGCATTTGCAGGAATATGGATGGAACTACAGGTCATCAAGTTAAGCGAAACAAGTCAAACTCAGAAGCCAAGGGTTATATGTTTTCTCTCATGTGCAAAAATGAAAGAGAAAAAGCGAAAAGGAAGGTGGAGGTGGACCTCCTAAAAATCAAAGGGAGATAGATCATCAGAGAAAAGGGATGAGGGGGTAGGAGGTGGGGAAGGAAGGGAGAAATGCTGGGGGAATGATACTGGCCAAATTCTATTGTTATATTGTGTATTATAACAATATAACAGCATTTTTACAACAATGTAAAAATGTAACAACAAATCATATCAATATGTATCACTATAATGCACCAATAAAAAAGTGGGGAAAAAAACTATTATATCTAAGACAGAATATGTCTGAATGTTGATGAAATCATACATCCTCATTCTAGCAGCTTCAGTATAACTTTTATTAGACAATCTCTCTTATATTATTATATCACATATTTTAACAAATTATATTGTTATATTAATAAATAATGTCATTATTAGCTGATACTATATGAGATGGATTACCTACCTCCATACACATCATCCATGCAAATAATTTGGTCTCCTGCTTTTAAAAGATGAGTAATAGTCATAGTGGCTGCTAAACCCGAAGCAAAGGCCAAACCTTAAATAAAAATCAAGTTTGTGTAAGCCGACAACGCAGACTACAGGTTAAAAAAAAATCTACAGTATTTACTTGCATTATTCTATGTCCCTTTTTCTTCTGATAGAAGGCCAGCCACCACTGTTGAATCACCAGAGGTCCCCTGATTAATGCCATAACAAATCCCCTTTCCTATTTCAAGAACAAAATATCTTTTAAATTACATATATATTGGGCTGGGGCTGTAGTTCAGGTGCAGAGTTCTTGTCTAGCATGGGTTCAACCCTCAGCACCATATAAAAATAAACAAATAAAATAAAGGCATTCTGTCTATCTACAACTGCAAAAAATAATAATAATAAAATTTAAATTACACACATCTATATACAAATGGATGAATTATATTCAACTTATACATAAATTATATATAGATATATTATAGGTAATATGGTAATAATATTATAGGAGTCACATTCAAATATTTAGAAGCACTTGGAATTTATATATTTATAATAATATATCAATTATATATATTGTGTATATATATATATAATATATATATATATATATATATATATGGCGAGATACTTTTGTCTTACATCAATTCTATATTAATTAAAACATTTCTAAGAAGCATTTGAAGAAAATAATTCTTTTTTTTTTTGTACCAGGGATTGAACTCAGGGGCACTCGACCACAGAGCCATATCCCCAACCCTATTTTGTATTTTATTTAGAGGCAAGGTCTCACTTTGTAGAACCTTGCTTTTGTAGAGACCCTTTGAACTTGCAATCCTCCTGCCCCAGCTTCCTGAGCCACTGGGATTACAGGGGTGTGCCACTGTGCCCAGCCTTGAAGGAAATAATTTCTTACAGAAATCTGAGATGGCCGAGTGCAGTGGATACATGAGTATAATCCYAGCAGCTCAGGAGGCTGAGGCAAGAGGATTGAGGCAGGAGGATCTCAAGTTCAAAGCTAACCTCAGCAAGTTGGCAAGACCCTGTCTCCAAATATAATATTTTAAAAAGTGCTGGGGATGTTGCTCAGTGGTTAAAAGCCTCTGGGTTCAATCCCTGGTGCCAAAAAGAAAAAAAGAAAAAGAAAAGAAGGCCTATAGTCAATTAAATAGTGTTTTAGATTTTTTTTTGGTGGGGGGAGTACGAGGGTTTGAACTCAGGGGTACTCAACCACTGAACCATATCCCCAGCCCTTTTTTGTTGCTTAGCACCTTAGTTTTGCTGAGACTGGTTTTGAACTCATGATCCTCCTGCCTCAGCCTCTCSAGCCACTGGGATTACATATATGCACCACCAAGCCCAGTTCATTCATTAATTTATGAATATGCAATTCAGAAAATATTTTAATAAAACTCACATAGCTGTGTATGATAAATTTAATGATGAGAGATACATAAGACACGTATTTTCTATTTGCTATTCTGTTCTTTTTAAATTATAATTTATATAAAAAATACAAAGATAATTTAACAGTAATCTACTCCCCTCATGGGGGAAAAAAAAATCTCAGGGAGGGAATTCCAAGTCTCTGAGAGCATATTATCAAAAGTTATTGACCATTGCAAATGAACCTTGGTGCTACTCTCAGACACAAGTTGTCAGATGAATGAACCAGAATATAAGAAAGTTTCTCTTTTCATAGGTAGAGTTATATTTAATTTTTATCTATGTATACTGACTCTTCAGATGAAGAATGTTGTTCACATGAATACTAACCAATAGCTGCTGGCATTTTGCCTCTTTACATATTTATTACTACCCAATGGTTACACATATGCATATTAGATCAACTGAGACACGCAGACAAAAAATTCAATGTCTCTGACAAGAGTTTTGAACATGCAAATCTTTGTTTCCTTCCAGTTCTACATTCTGTGTCTCTGTGATTTTTCTGACATATTTTTAAAGGATTCTAGACTGCTGTGAAATGCAAGTCACTTACTGTACTTGGCCCCATCCAGGGCTGCCACTGCTTTTTCCAAGCAATTCCTTGTGGGATTTCCAGAACGGCTGTATTCAAAACCCTGAAGAAAAGAAATAAGAATTCATTCAAAGAGCTTTAAGTTTATTATTGGGGTCTAACGGAGATAGCTCCACAACCATGGGTTCACCCTACCATTATGACTTTCTATTATTTAGTTATGATATGTCTTGACATTGGACAGAAGTATGACAGTGTCATGGCATGATGGGTATGAAGATCTAAAGATGATCAGACTARGTTAGAATTAGGCATCTGCCACTCATTAGCTGGGTGTCTGTCAGTAAGTAAATAACATTTCCAAGATTCAGTCTAAAAGGGGGAAGGGGATGGGATACTTAGTGCATAAAATTGCTATGAGACTAAAATGAGATATGTGTCCACTGCATATTTCCTTGCACATGTTAACCATGGTAAGTGGAAATGGGGGGGGGGCAGTTTGTAATATTACTAATATTATTATGTTCGACTCACCTTATGCATTAATCTGAAGACATGAAGAAAAAGAATTCCATGAGTTAACAAAGTAAACCTAATTCTAAACTGTATTACATTACCTAAGAAATAAGCAATGAACCAGGCACAGTGGTACATGCCTATAATCCCAGCTACTAAGGAGGCTGAGGAAGGAGGATCACAATTTTGAGGCCAGCCTGAAGAACTTAGCAAGTCCCTGTCTCAAAATAAAATAAAAAGAGCTGGGGATGTAGCTCAGTGGTAGAGCATTTGCCTAGCATGTGAGGGGCCCTGGGTTTAATCCCTAGTATGACAATAAATAACAAGATAGATAGATAGATAGATAGATAGATAGATAGATAAATCTGAAATAAGTTCTAGTTATCATTAAACAAGAAGGTATAAACAGATCCTATAAGTGCTCAGAGTTCAGATCTCGGCTCTACAAGAATAACTCCAAAAATAGGAGTTAGCAAAGCACCTCCACATAATACATTGTTAAAAATTTGCATAATACTCCTTTTACACATATGGCACCACAGAATTCATCTTCATCTAGTCATTTTATTTAATCCTCAGGACTTACTTTGAGGAAAGTGAAATCAAATATTATAAGAACTCAGGAGCATCAAAACCAGAATTCAAACCTAAAATTTGAACATAGAATTTAATTAAGAAACCTATGTTTTCTTCTTTTTTCACCCAGTTCAGATAACACATAACAAAAAACTATCACTCTTCACACCTTTGTTTCTGATTTTGGAGTTCTCGTATTAGCAATAATCATTTTTTAAAGTTTTACTGTGTTTTTTTTTTTTCTTGTGTTTTTTTCTTTTAGTTTGTTTGTATATGGTGCTGGGGATTGAACCCAGAGCCTTGTGCATGCAAGGCAAGCACTCTACCAACTGAGCTATATCCCCAGCCCCTGTTTTCTTGTTTTTGATAAACCAAACAGATATATATTTTGTAGGGCTCCAAGATGTCATCACATCTCTACCATTACCTGAAGCTGTACCTGTCAGACAGGAAAAAAAAAAAAAAGATCCCCACACTTTCATTAATTTTCAAATATTTACCTTTGTAAGGGGAAAGAGGCATATTCTAGGGGCAAACTGCCTCACCTATTCAATGGCTTTTCAAATGTAACTAAAGAATCAGATGCTTCTCATTCTGCTCTTCAAATTCCCTTTAGTGCTCTTACCTGTTTTAAAGATATGAAGCAATCTTATGGATTTAACCACCCCTCTTTGTTTTCTAAGAATATTTAATTATTAATATATCTGAATGATTAGCTTTTATACTAGGTTCCAAAGCTTGAGAAGTCACTCATTTGGTAAACCTATACAAGGAACAAACCACATCTTGGAAGAGAAGTTGTATACACATTTTGATCAATATATAATTATTTTTGGTATCCTAAACCATTCTAAGTGCCTTTAGAACTCTATCTCACAAAGCAACTCTGTAAGACCTTTTCTTGACTAATGTAATACATGAAAATGGTTTTCAAAGTATAATCCAGGCTTGGGACCTTCAAAGTGTATTAACTATTTTCTTCTGAACTTCAGCAACTTCTAAATACCACAAGACACATCTAGTATGTCACTAAAAGTAAACAAGCTATGCAATTAGGAAAGAGTGCTCTCTAACAGGTTTATAAGCCATTTATGTACGAGTTTGTGTTAGTTCCTTTCCTATAAAATGTATACAATGTCCATCCAGCCCTCTGACCTGGTTGTTGTGATTGAAAAAAAAATGTAAATGCAAATATGTGAACCAAAATACTACTACTGAGTAATTATTGTGTAGTACACAGCTTCACAAACATTAACAATTTATGTGTAGGTACTATTATTATCTCCATTTATACAGGATCAGTCTGAGTGAATAGGTTAAATAACTTCCTTGATCAAGGTTACCCAGCTCAGAAGAGGTGATGTCAGAATACAAACCTATGTCCTTTGACTATATGACTTGTGCTCTTAATCACTAAGCCATACTGTTTAAATGATGCAATTAAGTAAATTGTTACTAGTATTGTTAGAGAATAGCACGAGGTAGCCCAGCACCTAAGAGGGATTCCAGAGCAACTCAGAATCCCAGCTCTACCACTTATGAGCTTATGCTCATTGCTCATCATCCCTAAATCTCAGAAAAATGGGAATTATTTGGACTGGGGTTGTTATTAGGATTAGAAAATTCACTATATGTAATACACATAATATAAGTATAAATTTGGCACATAGTACATAATAACTATTAGCTGAAAACAGCTTCTAGGAGTATTCTTAATTCTACATGATTTCTTAGACCCCTTAATTTTTTTTTTTTTTTTTTTTTTTTGGCAGAACTGGGAATTGACCCCAGAGGTGCTCTGCCACTGAGCTACATCCCCAGCCCTTTATATTGTTTCTTTTGAGACAGAATCTTGCTAACTTGCTGGAGCTAGCCTCTAACTTGCCATCCTCCTGCCTCTATGCCTCGGGTCTGGCCAGATCCTTAAATTTTTAAAGCTGACTTCTTACGGTGTCTTTAAAATTTTTGCTGCTGAAGTTTACTCAAACCTCATATTCGAAATGAAAATTTGCCAAACTTACACGAATTTCTATTCAAATCTACATGGCAAGTTGGACAAACTGCTCCTTCCAGTCCTGCTTATCAAAAGAATTATGATCACTGGACCAACTAACACAAAGCTTACTGCAAGGATTGCAGAATAGAAACACTTTTAATTTATAATCCATCTCTTTTTTCTTTTCTTTTCTTTCTTTTTTCTTTTCTTTTTTTTTTTTTTTTTTTGCCGCCCAGCTCTACCTGTACCGCCCCCAGACAAGCCCAGCTCACCAAGTGCTGGCCGGGCGCCTTCTGCTTGAACGTAGTGGAGAGTGAAATGGGAGGCACCACATCCTGGAAATTCCATTGCTCCGGTTCCTGTCCGGCATGGATGGCCTGCGTGGCGAAATGCTGGAAGCTAGGTAGGAAACCGTGTGAGGAGGCATCTTTTTTCTGCATGCTGAACTGCAAAGGAGAAAGCGTGGGGGCAGTGAGAAATATTTGACTAGGAAACCGAACGTTGGGACGGGAGAGAAACAGAGGAAGTAAAAGCGACCGAGAGCTAAAGCACGCTGGCTGAGCCAAACCCGGGTGCACAATAGCCGAGCTCTGGCTGGACGGGAGACTTTATTAGTACGCGATCACCTAAGGGCGGAGCCAGCACCGACTAATGAGCGTAAGCCCCGACGCAATCCCTGCTCCTCATTGGCTGGAAGCAGAGGCGTTGCCTAGAGCGTCTCCTCCACCGCCCTCCGGCTGCAAAAAGTGAGGTGTGGCGAGTCTGTGGGACCACGCGGTGTTGGGTCCTGCAGGCTGCAGGTGACATTCTTAAATGCCGGCGCTGGGGAAGCTGCCATGCTSTCTCCTGTGAGCCACCCGCAGTTCGTGTGACCTCGGGCCGGAGTTTTGCCCAAGACACGAAGAAAGACTAACTTGGTGTTGAAACCTAGTAACCTGTAAACACGTCACACAAATAGCCTACTCTTGCTAAACCCTGTGCCCCTGACACCCCCACCCTTTGTCCTGAGGATAGTGTCGAAAGACCCAAGTGATAACGTGAAGATTAGTTAAGAAAACAATGACCCAGGTCGTCACATTTGCAACTTGGATTCTCATTCTTTGTAGACACGCTGTCCCTTAAGACCCCCTGCTTACCGTGACTAAAACAGGAGGGTCAAATATTTAGGTAGTAGGGAAATTACTGTAATGAGGGTGATTAAATGGAACTCTGACAGCCCTCTCAAATTTACTCAACCTTGAGCTTTTCAAACATCATTATCTTCTGTTGAAAGGCTCAGAGAAGCTCCCACTGATGAGAAAGATAATATAGCTTTCTGAGAAACGCACTGAAACCTCAAATCTTTACACAAAATGCTTTCCTTGTTACACAAGTAACAGCCACACCCTAATAGAAAAAAAAATGGAAGCAATCTGGTGTCAGAATTTACTGCTCACCTGCATCCAGAGCCAGACTCTCACCAAGATCAGTCCTTAAAAACATACAAAAATTTCCTTATTTCCCCAAACAATACAGTCTCGATCTACTTCTATTGCAACTTTTTTTCTGCGACTAGTGAATTTAGGAATATTTATGTTCCCGCAAATTATTAGCTGAAGAACTGAAACTTTATCAGACTAATTAAGAAAGAATAAAGAATAAACAACTATTAAAAATATACAGTTTGAAAGAAAGATGTGAAGAGCGGGAATGAGTCAACTTGCTTTTCAAATTAGCTTCAGGGACAATTACTCATTAATCATTAGAGGGGCAGAACTAAGGGTGTATGACTTCTGAGGACTACCTCAATTTTTAAGATTGGGGGAAAATTAAACGGACTCCAAAATACTAATGAATAGTGATACATATTTAATTAATATTTTTCTTTTAAAAATATAATGTTATCAACTGCAATGTATTTCAAAAGTTATATATAACTATTTTTGGATATATTTTATATGATATGATATGTTACAGGAGGATCTAAAACAATCCCAGTTTTACCTCCTTAAGTAAATGTGGACATTTTATTTAGTGTAACTGCAATAAACGGTTCCTTTTGTTGTTGTTGTATTTGTGTTTTGGTTTTTTGGTTTTGGGTTTGTTTTTAAATGGAGTCACACTCCAACCTCTTTTTATTTATTTATTTATTTTTTAGAGAGTACTTTTTCTCTATTGTAACTTTATTTAAAAAAATAAAATTGTAAAAATGTTTTGTAAAAAAGTTTAAGCAATTAAGCAATTTATTTAGGAAAAACTTTTCAAATGATAGCCCCTTTAAATACAGCAAATGTTATATAGTTTGGGCTGTGCACTGCTTTTTCATGTAAATTTAGCTTGAAAAACACATAACAATATTATCATAACACTGAAAAACTATTAATTCCTCTTGAGCATTAATTCCTCTCAAGGGCAGATATTTCACATTAAATGGAGGACTTCTCATTTTTAAAACATAATTTCTTTACCGTGTAATCCTTTTATTAAAAGAGCACATTATTACCTTTATAATAAAATCATCTTAARCTCTATGAAAATAGCATCATACTTCTTGTGTATGTGCACAGAGACTTCTATTGCTCCCATTAAAATCAGGCTATGGATAAAGGTACTGAATGGCAACAACGGCAAAGTATGGGCCTGGGAGAGATGTTCATATAATATTATAGTCATCATCATTATTATTATTGGATTGTTTTGTTTTTTGGTACCAGGGATTGAACCCAGAGGTGCTTAGCCACTGAGCCACATCCTCAGCCCATTTTAATTTTTATTTTCAGACAAGGTTTTACTAAGTTGCTTAGGGCCTTGCTAAGTTGCTGAGGTTGGCCTCAAACTTGTAATCCCCCTGCCTCAGCCTCCTGAGCTTCTGGGATTCAGGTGTGCACACTGCACCCGGCTTATCATTAGTGTTGTCAAACATAAATATAGCCATTTGATCTGATTTGTTTTAGCTCAAAGGACAAATATTTTGCTCTTCCTTAGGCTTTTGCCAATGAAATTGATGAGAATGATGAAGAGAATTTTGGGAAGGAGGAAGAAGAAGATGACATTGCAATACAAGTTCTTCATTTGGGGATTTGTAGATTGCTACAGGGGCTGAGACATCCAAAGAGCTCTTATCACTTTCACCTTTAGTTGTCAGTGTAAACCATTTTTCTTTTTTTGGAGATTGCATCATGTTTCATTTGAATTAGACATTAATATGCTAAAAGGGCAARGATGAAGCAACATGATTCATACCACATATTTAAGAAGCTACTTTAAACTAAAGGGTTCCCAGAATATTTATTTAGATGGATAAACACATTCCATACTACAGCTGATCTTAAGACATATCACAACACTATTTTTTTATCTTTTATTGATTTTATTTTTTTTAAATACACGACAGCAGTGGAATGCATTATAATTCGTATTACATATATAGAGCACAATTTTTCATATCTCTGTATATAAAGTATGTTCACACCAATTTATGCCTTTATACATGTACTTTGTTTTGTTTTGCATTACAATTCTTAATACACATATATACCACAATTTTTTATCTCTGTTTGTATATAAAGTATGTTGACACCCAATTCAAGTCTTCATACATGTACTTTGTATAAGGATGTCTATCACATTCCACTATCCTTGATAATCCCCTGCCCCCTCCCTTTCCCTCCCACCAGTGTAAACCGTTTTTTAAAATGACAACAAAAAGAAACTGAATATGATTTTGATAGAACATAATTGTAAATGGTATCCATTGAGAATAAAAGTTTAATAATTTAAAAAAAATTTTTTAGTTGTAGTTGGACACAATACCTTTATTTATTTATTTGCATATGATTGTGAGGATCAAACCCAGGGCCTCGCATAGGCTAGGTGAGTGCTCTACCATTGAGCCACAACTCCAGCCCCAAGAATTATTTTAATCAAACTATTAAATTTCATTTTGAAAGACCAGAAAGCAAACTAGCACACTTGCTTTATTTTAATAATAGACGCAAAAAAGATAAGTGATGTTGAAAAATTGGTCCACTTTATGCTTAAATATAGCCCTTGCTTCTCTGCCACTACAATTTATTTTTTAAATGGACAYGTTTCTTTCTTTTCCTCTATCCTTGCTCCTGCCTAATCTCAGGGGAAACAAGATTACCTTTCTTCCCCATTTAAGCACATTTATCTATACCTGAATACACATACCCACTGCCAGGGTCCAGCCCTAGCTGGGATCCAGGGGTCCTGGAGGAGGAGTGGCTTCAGCAAAAGAAGAAGAGATTAGAAGACAGGTTGCAAGTTAAGACCAGCTTCCAGAAAAATCTGCTGCCCTTAGAGGGGCCTTATTTTTAATACCATTTTTACAAGTATTTTTCCTCCGTAGTTAATGAATAGCCTCCAAGCCCAAAACTTCTTTGATTTACATAATTTTAAAGAGTTACAGTATTTTCTGACACATATTGATTACCTAAGATTTGACTACATTGTTTAAAATATTTTCCTGTAACCTTTGCCAATCATGATTAAGCTTTTACGTTTTTACCTGAATCACTAGGTGCTAGGCTACGTAACTCTAACTACATGTCTCCTAACCTATTTTTAACTTTTTAACTTTAAAGCACACCTATTATTATTTCATTAACCTTTAACTTTAAAGCATGCATATGATTATTGGTAAGATTTTTTTACTTCTAAACTAAAATCCCAGCAAAACACACTTAAAGTAGTGAAAGTCGATTACTTAAAAGCCTACTACTCTGAAGTGCCCCTAAAATATATCTATATTAATTTTACATTTGCCAAGGTCTTGGCTTGGCACTGAATCACGAGCCACCACACACTTGTAGATTCAAACAGCAATTCTTTATTCCCGAACTCACACCGGCCTCCACACAGGTTCAGGGGCAATCTAAAATCTCCAGCACAATTCACCTACTCCACGAGGCTTTTTTTCCAAATCCCATCTGAATCTCACGAGAACTCAATGGGAACAAGCAGCAGGAACAATAATCTTCAACCTCCAACTTCCCTAAAAACCCCCATTGTCTTAAACCGGGAACACCCTAAACTTGTCTTCAACCTGGAACGCCTTAAACTCAAGGAGCGGGAAACTTCCTCAAACCTGATACTGAAGCATACATGCAATGTCCAAGGCAAGTCCATTTAACATGGGGTACGCTGGCAAGGAAATATCAATGCGTCATTCCTACTTGGCAATGGCCCTCAGCATACATTATTTTGTTTTTAATTTCCAAGGTAATTTCCTTTTTTTCACATGACCTATTTAACTGCTTTCTTGAAGAGTTTCCTTTATCCTTGGTCAAAGCACACCAATTCTTATGTCTTTGTAATCTTTAACCAAAGAGCAGACTTTGCACCTCTACCCATTTGTCATTAACTATGCATTTCCCATTCTCATTATGTACTCCTGTGTAAGGCAAAGGAGGGTCTGTTAGTGGCCGGGAATGTATGTTGCACAGGTTGTGGCTTTAGAATGGGGAGGGGGAGCTTAGTGTAAATTGTTAAGCTTTTCTCAGGAACCTCGATTTGCGATCTTTTTCGCATGAATTTCTTGAGGAATTGCACTATTG